TACTTATCTTTAACATACAAATTTTGTAGTTAAATAGTTCCTTGGGAGTTTTGCAGTTATTGGTATGTGTAGTTAATGGTTTTTCTACTTTAAGCTATTAAAGATGGGTAATTTGGTGATAGGAACTCTAAATCTTGTTTTTATTAGAACTCAAGGATACATTAGTATTCTATTCAATAAGGTCGTAACTCTAAATCTTGTTTTTAATGATTTGGCTATATAAAATGTATTTGTTTGTCTCATTAACGTTCTTAATAAGGTCGTAACCCCATATATGGATCGATTTTGCTGCTATGGAAGGATGATTTTCCAGCTGCTTTGGAGGTAATATTGAGGGAGGTTTTGACATTCCAAGCTGTACTTTAAACATTCCATTTGATGTTAAATATGCAGCTAATTGTGTGATGCAGATTTTTCCTCAGTAAGTATGCATTGATCAACTATCATTTGTAGCAGTTGTTGCCTTTTATCTCTGTCATCAATTCTTTCATTTTTATACTTGAGCTTATATATTTTGTTTTATTGAATAATTCATGTCTCCGTGAAAATTTTGTGCGCATCTCAGATAATCTCTTCAATCTGATCATCATCTCTAATGCACTGTTATTTGAAATTCATTTCCTTGCATCTGTTATTCCCTGATGATTTGATTGATTGGTTTTTTTCCTCATTTCCACTACTAGATGTTCACGCAATTAAGATATTTTCATTTACAACATTCAACGTAAGGTATTTCTATATTGTGGTTGTTCTAGATTAGACATTTATTTGTTGATAGGTATCATAGTAACATAATGTTTATTTTGATTCTTAACATAACGATTTTGTGGTTTCTTCCTTTGACTTATCGGATATGATAGTCTTTTTTTCTTATGTTAATTATAATTGACATTCTTTTTAACTCAATGATGAACATGTGGTTTCTGTAGCAATTTGGGTCATGTTTTCAAGTATGCTTCATGGATTTTCTGCTCGACATTTCTTTTATGCTATTCTGTATTATGTAGTTGAATTTGTTCTTTTAATCTTCTTGTTCTGTTGAACAATTTTTTTGAGATTACACCATTTTCAATTTTACTAGTGGTAATACATTCTTTCTTGGATTTCTTATGTTATGTTTATGTTTTGCTTTATGAAAAATGAACTTATGAACTTCAGTTTGTCTTCTTCTTTTTTGAAAAAATTAGTGTAGCTTACAATTGAAAATGTGGCAAGCCAAACATTCTACTCAACAATCTCGCAGTACTACAATTTGGAAACCTGTAAAGGTAAATTTGCATAACTCATATCAATGTCGCAGTAAATCCTTTGTATAACTCATAATTATGTTATTTTTCAAATTTTCTATATGTAGTGTCCTCGACAATCAGGTTCTATCGAGTGTGGGTACTATTTGCAAAAGTATATACGAGAAATAGTGCGGAACCCTGGTACTCCTATAACTGAACTTGTACGTATTATCATATACCTTTATGTGTTTATATATGATTTGTCCTTATATTAGTATTATCTTTTTTTTGTAGTTTAATACAAAAAGTGTCTATCAACAAGAAGAAATCGACGAAGTTCGAATAGAATGGGCATCTTTTGTTGGGCGATTTGTGTAGTACCTATGGATTCATTAGTTTTGTTTATTTGATGTAAGTATTTGGTTCAGACTACTTTCTGTCGAGTACTTGGTAGATTAGAAATGCTTTGTCTTGTTTATAATATGTAGAAGTTTGAATGGTGTATATATGGTATTGCATAACATCTTTGTTTTGGATTATTATAGAAGTATTTGACTGATGCTGAATGTGTTGGATTGTTTTGTTTATACTATATAGAAATCTGTATTCTTTTTATGAATTTAGTTTTGTTGGAGGGACAGGCGGTCCCATTTGCTCTTGTGTGGAAGGGTGTTAATATAGAAGTGTTTGTTTTGTTTATAACCATGCTAGTTTTGAGTTATTCTAAAAGTGGAGAGGTTATGTTGAAATTTG